TTGTTTTTATATTACTTGGCCATGTAGCTTTGAGTTACGGACCGGTATCCTTCATGTCAGCATAAAGGGTTCCCTTTAGTATTTCTTGTAGGGTGGTCTGCTAAAGCTGAGTTTTCTCAGGCTGGTTTTTTTCTTTTGCTGGAGATGAATCCATTTTTGATTATCGGGACTGTTCTTATTCTTTCCTCCATTTTAAAGGACAGTTTTGCTAGATAGAGAATTCTTGTGCAATTTTCTTTCAGCACTTTGAATACAGTGAATACCTTCTACTGTTACCTTCTGGCCTCCATGGGGACTAATGAGAAATTAGTTAATGTCTAATTAAGGATCACAGGTATACGATGAGTCATTTTGGTGCTGTTTTTTTTCAAGATTCTATTTGCTTTGTCTCTGACAGTTTGACTGTGATGGGCCTAGATTTCGATCTCTTTTATGTACCTTTAATAGAATATGTAGTGTTTGCTGGATCGCTTGGAAATGAAAAATCAGTATTTTTCATCAAATGTAGTATGCTTTTGATGAGGTCTCTTCAAATGCTTTTTCTGCCTTTCTCTTTCCCTGTCTCTTTCTGGGAGTCCTGTTTTCATGCTTGATGGTACTACGCAGGGCCAAGGGTCTCTGTATGTTTCTTTCTGTTTCATAGCGTGGATTATCTTGTTTGATTTAATCTCAACTTCAGGGATACTTTTTTCTGACATGTTGAATTTTTCACTTTTGATTATTGTACTTTCCCTTCCTCCCTGCTTCTTCCTTCTGGTCTTTCTACTTTTCCTCTGTCCTCTTCTTCCTCTTCCTTTTTGTGTTGCAGGCGTTAAATCCAGAGCTTCCAGCATGGTAGGTAAGTGGTTATTGTATTTTTCAACCCCAGAGTTTTTTTTTTTTTCTTTCTTTCTTTTTTTAAAAAATGATTTCTGTCTCTTAGTTGACATTTGTTATTTGGTGAGACATAATTTTTTTAAAATTTTATTTAAGGAGAAAAAGAAAAAAAACAGAAAAAGGGTACAAGTTATACAGAATTTCAGAAAAAATAAAACAGTAGGAAATCACTAGTTAATAGATTACATATTATTATCTTAGAAATAGTTGTTCAAGTTACAAACTTAAAGCATATAAAGTGGACTTTCAAACAGTGAGACTGCAAACAGTTTTGTTCAATGATCCAACAAAACTCAGTAATATGGTTATCTACCTTATACACTTAAATATATATGCAGTTATATTCTTTAGAGCACTTTCTTTTCCTTTCTTTTGTACAATGACAATTACACATTCTGGGTTTTATTACTCCCACAGTTCTTACTACTTTTTTTTGAAGAGAGTAAAACCAAATGTGACATAACAGAACAGAGTCAGTCAAATCAAAAGGATGGACATAACAGATAATGTGAAAACAAAATATAGGTGATCAACAATGGTTACCATACTGCCTCTTGCTATCTTAAAAAGAATTGCCTATATCGTCAGTTATAATAAAATTGAACAAAACAGTAAAGAATAAAACCAAAACGTTGGAGACATTACAGGACTTTAAAAGAAGGTAATAGTCAACTAGAATGGGCGTCATAATGAATCTTATTGTCTTCACAGTTGTTGCTTATACTTTTGAACTTGGTACTATCAAGCAAAGCAGAATAGGGGAAAATCAGTCAAAACAAGATGGTGAGGGCAGTACAGGATTTCAAATCAAGTTAATAGGAAATCAAAGTAGGTTACTATAATATATCCTGCTATTTGTTATTTATTTTTCCCGTAATTAAAAAGATAAAAATAAAAAAGTAAACAATTAAAAAAAGGAGATTGAGATAAAAGAGGGCATAACAACAAAACAGCGCAGGTCAAAACATAACCATTTAAGCAAAATAGTGTTGGTGAGACATAATTCTTATAACTTAAAAAACTGTTTAGTTCTTTGAACATATAATACTTGATTAAAATCTTTTTTCTGATAATTTCACAAGCTGAACTTGAGAACATTTTTGTTAACTTTTTTTTGTACTTTTACATGCTTTGAAATTTTTTTGCTGGAGATCAGACATTTTGAATAATCATAGTCTTGGAGTCTTGTCCTACACCAAACGTGTTTTTGTTACTTTTCTTTTTATTGTTGCTCTTTGTTTAATGACTTTCCTGGAAAAAATTGAGATGTTTTGTATTTAGCCACTGAAATCTCTCCTCAGGTTAAGGGACAATGAGCAATTAGACAGAGATTGTGGGGGGCAGTTTTGACTTGCTGTGTAGTCCAGGTTGGCCTTGAGCTCACTGTTAGGCTAGACTAGCCTTAAAACTGCGGCAATTCTGCTGTCTCAGATGCATGAGTGCTGGATTATAGGCAGGCACCACCATGCCCAGCCACAGATTTAAATGCCTTGTTCAAATCCTTTTCTTCCACCCTTGGCTGTGGGGTTCTGTAAGAGTTTGGCATGCTTCTAATATTTTAGCATTTTACAACTCTGCTTTAGCTTTCCGTTTCTGTTTGTGCGGATCCTTGAAGTCAGTTATGATGAGGAATTTGAGCCTTGTCAGGTTTTCCTAGGCAGGCACAAAGTGTTACTCATGCACTTGAGGTATAGGCTTCCAGGAATACATCAGAGTTTTTCAACCTCCCTTAACATCTCACTTGTAAGTTTCAAGACTTTTTTTTGGTGGAGGAAGTCTGTTATTTGCTCTAACAGATATCTCTATGTCAGGCTGCTGTGGTGTTAAACAGTTGCTCCTGGTTTTTTTTATTTTAGTTTATTTTACATTTTAAAAATTCACTTAGTAGCAAATGCTCTACAGTCAAAACTTTTGTCAGTGAGCAGTTTGGAGTCAAGCCAAATAAAGTCAAGCCCTATAAATGACTTTTCCAGGGAGCTGTCACATAGTCAAAGAGTGATGACCATCTGTGGAATGTAGCGTTTCTGCTTTTTGGTAGCTGCTGGGCTGGTGGCTCTCAGTTACTGTGTTTCTGAGTGTGTTGGTTTTCAAGGCGGTTGTGGAGCTGAGAAAGAAGGGAAGGTAACTGTTCTGAGATTTGACCATTTTCCATTAATAAATGCTCCTCGTTACAAGTGCTTGTTTATAGTTTCCAGTTTATAAAGTGCTGATTTGGCCAATTTTGCCTATTTTTTCATTGTTTTCACGGGAAGACAGAGGTCCTTATTTCACTTTTACGAAAGTATTTTCTCCAAACATTAATTTCAGTACTGATATATTTCACTTAATGGCATATTTAGCACCTGTGGAAAAATATTCAATTTTTGTCCAGGTTATCATACTTTTTGAATTTTTATTTTTTCTTGCATTTTCCTGCCTCTTCTTTTATACATGTTAGCTGCATGAGTCTCCTCTTAGCAATACTTCTCCCCTTGTAATTGTGTCACTTCTAACATGTTATAGGATTAAAAATGAAGTAGTAAAATTGGTTAGTGATATCTTAGGACAGGCCAGGAGGGTCCACTGTGAAGTGTGTGGAATTCGTGACATGGTGACTACTCAAAAGTTATTTTGGGTTTTTCTCTTCTATGTTCTGGAGAATCTGGTTTCTAGATATCTGAATTTGGAGCAAGTGAGCTGGTGATGTACAGAGTAGAGGAGGTACTAGCCCCATAATACTCTTTGCTAAATTAGATTATAACTATAGCAGTATACCACATTTTGGGCAACATGTTTTCAGAGGAACTTGGATCAGATAGGAATTTGAAGCTTACAGTTACTAAGATGGAGAGTGGGAAGCTTTAAAACCATGCTACATGAGGAAAATTTAGAGTGGTGATATTCATTGGGAGAAAGAAAAACTTGGGGGGGGGGGAAAGCAACTTACTTGGGGTCTATGACTAGGTGAAATGGTAAAGAATGATTCTGTCTTTCTCCATATAATCAGGTCTCCATGAATGTGATTAGTAACCACACATTATAAATGGGACTGCTTTTGATTCAGTACACAAGAAATTCTTAATGACATCTGTTCAGCAGTGTAACTGACTAAGCTTTTACATTGCTCTAGCCCAGGAAGCCATAATGAAATGAAACAGAATTATCACCTACAACAGCTCATAAAGTGAAAGCCTCAGTCAGAGCGCCTAGAGAAAGACTAAATGACCATCTGTTAAGGAACCTAAATTAGAAGACTGGGATCTATGACAGTTGAAGTCCATTCTAAAACCAGTATTTGAAGGGTCCGTCACCATCATAGAGCTTGTAGATAACTCTAGGGCAAGACAAATATTTAGTGGGAGTCTGGAGTCGCCAAGGGATATGGGATGTTTTTGAACTTTTCCTATCAAGTTCTCCTAAGATCATTAAATCATGTACGGAGCTGTTGGCAAGTTAACTTTGTCACGGAGTTTTACTGACACCTGGTGGTAAATAGAAGCATTCATAAAATCTAAAATACAATTCACAAACTTCATTTTATGAAAATCATGAATGAATAAAGTAAACTATATTTGAAAATATGAGCTATATTTTAAAAAGGGAATTAAATTGACTAAGTGTTATTTTAATCTTTCAAATATTTTATCCTGAATTTTAAAATCTTCCTTGAAGACTTGATTTTACTTAATAAGCAAATCTTCAAGGTTAAACATACGGTGAATATTTAAATTTAAAAACTTGCTACAGTGAAAGATACACTGCCAGGCTGGGGATGTAGTTTAATGGTACAGTTCTTTCCTTGTATGCAGAAGCCCTGGGTTCGATCCCCAGCTCCACCAAAAAAAAAAAAAAAAAAAAAAAAAAAAAAAAAAAAAAGACACATTTCCTTTCATCTCCCATGAACACACTTATCCTATTGTTCTTACCACTTGTTGAAGCCCTGGAAGTCTTTGATGAGTATCTTTCTGAGATATGTATGATCAAAAATCTGGTGAATTCTGCAGCTGAGTAGCATCAAAATTAGAAGACTTAAAGAAAAATGTATTTATTAGTTATAGATGGTGGCAGTGGGAAGATAGAAAGTAAAGCTAATTCTCATTAGAATTAAAATTGTAGATTTTAAGTATTAAATAAATGAGTTAAAGTGTCATTTTATGAATTTTTATTATTTTATCACACGTGCTTTACTCAGGCCATAGACAGAGAGACATGTTGACCAGACACAGTACAATTTCTATCGCCCGTGGGGCCTCCTGCATCAGTACCTCACTTGCTTTGTTGACTTGGCTGTTGATCGGTTTCACAGCTCTGAAGCTCCCGTGGGGTCTTCTGTGTCTAAAGATCTCCTCATTTCTGCGTCATCATCTGGCCCCTGGAACTCTTCTTCCACAGGCTTCCTTTCTTGGGTTGGTGGCCCTCTGTCAATTGATGGTGCTCGCAAGTACTCTGTGTCTGATAATCGCTTCTGAGCCTGCAGTGTGCTTGGCTCTTGGGTTAAGTAGTTTATGGTGGAATCTCTCTTTCTTTCAGGAATCTCAAGCTCCTCCTCCCATTTCGAAGGAGGGGATCCCTCCTTACGCTCATAACTATTCAGTCTCTTTTCAACCACTTCACGGATCAACACTGTAAAGTACAAAAGTCTTTGTGAGTTTTCATTTTTTAGATAAGTTCTAGATGCATATAAAACATTCACTAGGCCTCCCCCTTCCCCACCTGACCTTTCATAAAGTCACCATATTTAATTTCTGTAGCAATTAATGCATTGTGTATGGGTCATAGTCTTTGCCTATTTCAACAGAATACCATTTATAGTGACAGAAGATATTAATATCGATAAAATTATAAAAAGTAAAAAATAATATTGAGGATAAAATTTTGTACCTTTCTTAATATAATTAATATACTGAAAACTTAAGTATTAAAACTGTAAAATTAACATCTTTCTTTAATTTATTCCTTCCACTGAAATGTTGAGAGATGACTTTCAAATAAAACAAAAGAACTTACTGTCAAGCACTGTCCTTCCAACCAGGCTGTAGTCGATGGTTTTTTCAACTTCATTCATTAGCCATGGAAGAAATCCTAGCTCAATGTCTGTAATAAAAACATTTCACTAAGTCATTTCTTTCTTTTTTTTTTTTTTTGACATAGGGTCTTACTATGCAGATCAGACTGTCCTTGAACTTACAGTGATTCTCTTGCTTCAGCCTCCTGAATGATGGGGTTATAGGCTTGCATCACCATGTCTGGTCATTTTTATTAATCATTTGAAACCAGAAGAATGTGCTTTGGCCATTATGTAACAGATTCATTTATATTATTTTTCCAATACAAAATGTTAAGTGGATTTATATAATGTTTCCCATATTCTATATGTTCTGGTCAAATTTCTTTTATTGAAACAGAAATATTCTTAAAATTATGAGGCCTTCCTTGGAGTCAAGGATGTCAGAGCTAGCATCACAGTACAACCTGAAACAGATTGTGGGGACAGAAGGAAGATGTGGATCTGGGAGAATTCCAAGGACATGTGATACAAATCTGAAATGGAGTACTCCAAGTACAAAGAATGCCCTCATCAGAGGCCCAGGCTCTAATGGAAGCCAATGCAGACTGGATGCAGGCCAAGGGCATGTGAGAAGGTGGCGCTCTAGAAATGGCTAGAAACCAGGTGTTTCCATTAGTAAAAAGTTTGCTCCATCAGAAACAGAAATCTACTGTGGAAGAATGTTTAAAATATGGTCTGTTATGGTATAACACTAAGTTTCAAAACAGCTTTATTTGGGAGAAGGCATCTAATTGTTATTTTTTAATATGGTAAGAAGGGGGAGTATGACAGGATATTATCATTGCTATTATAAATATTTTAGTCTCAAGCATGAATTTCGCTTGCAAAATTTTAAATGATCCATGATAGGAAAAAAGTTACTGGTCTCTGTGAGTGGCCGTAGGAGGTCTAACTAGACTCTGAAATGATAGTTCGGGCACACAGATGGTCTTGGACTGACACTTGGACTGACTATTTGGGAGCAGTGGTTTAACTACTTGATGCTTCACTTTTTACTTCTGAAAAATGGGAATTATATCTGCCCTGTCTACCCCATAGGCCTACTGGGAGGATCAAATAATATCACTTATAAAAAACACTACATAAATTAGAAAGTATGAAATGAATGTAATGACATTTGTTTATAGTCTCACCTCTATGTGTAAGATTGAATATGCAAGCAGTGAAGATTTACATAACTAACAGCTGGCCCAAAATACTATTCGCTAATGAGGCAGGGCTTGGATTCAAAGCACTCGAGGTGTAAATGCTTTCTAAACTAAGGGTGATGGCAGGGAGAATGTGTCACCTCTTTTCCTTCAGTAGGCTAGACTGGGTAGGTGAGTGGGCTTTGAGGGGATACTAACAAATGGCTACCAGGCTGTGGGCCCATCAAGGTAGAGACCAAGGTGACTGACGCAGTGCCTGGGCCAGAGTAAGGGCCTAATTAAATGGATCAATGATCTCACATTTGTCCTGAAAGTGTTTCAGATAGGAAAAGAAAGTCGCTGAGAAGAGTTATTACAGCAACATACATGCACTGTGCTTTTTACATATAGAGCATTTGTTTATACAGAATTTCATATATGAAAATTTCATGTCACACATGAGGAAGCCGGAGGTCATAAAGCTAGCTAATGATGAAGGCAGGATCAAACCTTATGTTTTTCACATAGTGCACATATTTCTTTCTACTGTCCAATGTTCTGTGGCTCAGTAAAGAAATGCCAACATTTTATAATCAATATCTTTATGATACAGCTCTTTAGAAATTTTTAATTTTAGTTTTTGAAGATACATATTTATAGGGTACTGTAATATTCCTCTTCTTAGTAACAGTAGTTATTTAAATATAAGTAACTTTCACTTTAGAAATAGAAAGATTCTAATTCAAAATAAAGATGAGCATGAAAGAAATTCGAACCACTAAGAGGATACTTATTTTAATAGAGTTAATCTAACAAAAATCTCCACAAACCTCTTTTAATGGGATCATAAAAGTAGCCACTGTCTCTGAGACTGCTAAAAACAGAGGGGAGGAGGTCAGCCAGGTAGCGCTGTGCAAATGCACAGGCCGCTATCTTCTGGGATGTCTCGTTCTGCTTGTGCACTATTTCCCACTGCTGCCGCTTGCGACGTTCCTGCCCAGAGAAAAACATCATCACAGATGGTTATTCAGGCAGTACACTCTCCTTAGATACTGACTTTAGTGAAGTACATAAGTCAAAATACTTGGACTCATCAAAAAAATGTACAGCAAGGTGTCTATTAAGGATTCATATTCTTCATTAAGATTTTGATGGGCTACAACTACTGGCTACAGAACTCAGAAAGACATAAAAGATGGAGCTTGATCTGGGGATTAGAGTGTTTGTCTAGCATTTATGAGGTTCTGGGTTGGCTTGCATTCCTGCAAAAGAAACAAAACAAAGCAAAACAAGACAAAACAATGGCACTCAATTTAAAACTCATTTCCAAGGAAAATAACTTCAAAATGCTTGCTTATTTGAATGATATGAAAAGCATGACAATTATGTATAGTTTCATTAGTATTATAAAATAATATAATATAGTATTATAATATAGTATTATAATATAGTATTATAAAATAATATTTGAATGATATGAAAAGCATGACAATTATGTATAGTTTCATTAGTATTATAAAATAATATAATATAGTATTATAATATAGTATTATAATATAGTATTATAAAATAATATTTGAATGATATGAAAAGCATGACAATTATGTATAGTTTCATTAGTATTATAAAATAATATTGACATGAAAATTATAATTGCTTAGACATCTTCAATTAAAGAATTTAAGGCAATGAATTAATTGTTACAAGTCTTTGAATTCATAAAACTGAAATGGTCTTAAACATTATGAAAGCTTATTTCTTGTTGCTGGTTCCTTTTGATGAACTAAAAGCTAGTGAGCAATCTTCTTTACTCCCATGAAGAAATAGAAGCATTAATATATTTTCTAATCATATCTTTTTTCAAAGTTTAAAGCAAATATAAATCTAGGTCATTTATATTCTTTTTTAAATAATGCATTTCTTAGTGGTAAATAAAAATGTTTTGATAAAGGATTCACAGATTTTTCAATAAAGCTTTTTTGGTAAGTGTTTATTTTATATTTGTAAAAAAAGTTTTAGATTTGCACAATCCTTACCATAAACCCTATGCTCTTTACACAACTATTCACTTTGGAATAAAATTTAAAGTGCAGTCGATTAAGTATTAAATAAGAGTCCCTCTACCCCCCCAAAACCCAAGCTATTCTTCACAGAAAGTAAGACCTTTGGGAGATAATTCGGCTGGGTTTAGGCACAAGCACTACTTTCTAATTTATTCATTTGGTATATAATAGAGGAAGACTGTTAATGTTAGAACCAGAAAGCCAGGAAAGATTGTTGAATTTAGAGTTTCCTAACTGAAAGCTATTGATATATTTGAAAAAACCTGTTATAAAACTTTTTAAATTGAAGGATTGTAAAAGCTATAATCTGAAAAATACTGGGTCAGGACTCAAGTAGTTCTAGAGTATTTCCAAGGGTACTGAGAAGAGTTTGATCACTAAAAAACAAACAAAATTCCATCTCAATCGTTGGCTTCATAATCCACAGAAAACCCCAATACACCCCATTTCCCCTCCTCCTTTCATCTTTCTGTCACTGAATTATGGCACATCAATATAATTCTTCCTCTAGGATGCTCCATATTTAAGAGTATCTTCCATTTGGGACACAGGTCATTTAGAAACATTTATTTAATTTAAATGAACGTTTAGAAACTCAATTTAAATATATTTTAAAATTTAAAAAAGTCACTTAATCCGTGAAAGATTTATAATCTAAATGAAAGATTTGAGCACAAATACTAAAGAGCATACAAATACTAAATCTTCTAACAGATTGTCAAAGATACTTAGTTTTATATGTAACTCTGAATATAGAATAAATAAAGTATCCAAAAGACTAAGAGGGGTGAAAGATATAGCTCAGTGATAGAGGATGTAACAAGCATGTGGGAGTCACCGGGGTTCAATCCGAAGAAAAGGAAGAAGAAGAAGAGGAAGAAGAAGAGGAGGAAGAGGAAGAGGAAGAGAGGAGGAGGAGGAGGAGGAGGAAGAAGAAGAAGAAGACCACCATCATCACCATCACCACAAGACCACCCTAAGAAAGAAAAATAGAATTCATAGAATCGATACTTTTTCTTCTTCGTGTCGCCTCTTCTGCTCTTCCAGTCGCTGGACTTCAGCCAGCTCAACGTTCCGCATTTCTTCGTAGGCACACTGACTGGCCTGCAGGTTGGCCAGCTCTTCTTCTTCCATCACTTCCAGTAGGGACTGCTCAATTGTCTTGCCCACCAAAACTTCCAACATTGGTTTAACTTCAAGATCAAAATCAAAGAGCTAAACATACAAGAGAAAGCAGCATTTTAATCATGAACTAAATGCAAGGTCAGTTATAAAGAATAGCAATAACACTGTAATCCCAGTTACTAAAGAGACTGAGGCAAGGGGCTTACAAACTCATGGTTACTCTGGGGAACACAGGAAGAACTCTATCTCAAAATAAAAAATAAAAAAGTAAAAAGGGCGGGGTTGTGGCTCAGTGCAAAACCCTGGGTTCAATTGCTGGTGTTATGAAAAAGAAGAAGAAAGAGAAGGACAAGACAGAAGAGGAGAAAGGGGAAGAAAGAGAATGAGGAGAAGGAAGAGGGAAGGGAAGGAGGAGGGTGAAGGGGAAGGAAGGGAGAGGGGAATAGCGATAACATAATTTTATTTTAAGTGTTGCCTATGTGTCAAACACTGGACATTAAGTGTGTTTCTGATTCTCAACACAACCCTGCAAGGTACCAAAACAGCATTTTATTTATAGGTAAAACTCTATTAAGTAAAAAGTTATGGGAAAAAAACCCCAACAACCCATGCATTTATCAACATGAACTTTGATACTCAACAGTTTTAAGATCAAACTTTAGAACCAAGGGAAAATATCCTTTATTCTCCAACTTTCCTGCTGGTTTTTTACAGGCTGTTTTAAAAACAATACTGTGATGAACTAAGGAAGAATAATGGATATTTTAGCTCATTATGGTAGGTTGTGCCTGTAATCTCAGGTACTTGGGGAGCTGAAGAAAGATAATCTCAAGTTTGAGCCCATCCTGGGCAACTCAGTGAGAGTCTGTCTCACAAAAACAAAACAATACAAAAAAAACCAAAACAAAACAAAAAGAAAAATAAAAGCCTGGGAATGTAGATCAGAAGAAAAAAGAAGAATAAAAGGCTAGAGGATTGAATCCAGAGTACACCTGGGTTCAATCCCCAGTGCTACATATGTATGAATGATATTTTAAGTGACTCATGTGTAGGATTTAGACATAAATATGTCCTTCAACGTAGCTTCTGAAGACTTATTTTATTCCTCAATTTCAATGACAATTCTCCTAAGTTCCTTCAAATTTTAAATCTTACTTAGGTCATTATACATATAATTAATGTGTCTTTAATTTAGTAAACTTGTCTATGCATTCCATATTGATAGAAACATGTAATAAAGATTTTAAGAACAGAGATAGTATCTTCATAAAAGTTATGTAACCTGTAAACAACCAAGACTGGAGTCTCTTATCCAGAGAAATTATTCTTCCTTATACTGTACAAATCTATAATGTACATATATTAAACAAATGTATAGAATATAGAATTATACTAAAAATATTTCTAATAATTTACTTTTGGCAAGCAAAGAGGAAATATCATAACATGTCTTTTAAAAACATTTTTAGGTACTACAGGATAAAACTATTAAAATAACATTTATAAAGAAACCCCAAAACTAGTCTTTCTGATTGTGAACTGGTTCTTGACTATATTTAGCTTTACCTAAACTCAACTTTACCTCATTTACCAATATAATGGGAAGTCAAAGTAATGCACTTACCTCTCCTTCTAGTATCTCAGTGGCCACATCTTTGTTAGTTCTGGCAGGAATGAAAAGTGGTGTTGGTGGTCTGTCCAGAAATGCATCTGTTTGGCATTCCATGTCAACTTCTATTACGCGGTCAGCAATTTCTTCAAGATACAATTCTAAAAATAATAACATAGACACTTAGTTTGGCATTCAGGTCTACTTCAAACATATTTGTATTTGAAATTTCCACTCTTTCTAAACAGAATTACATGAATCAGAAGATAAATCCAGTAACAGGGCTTAAATGTAGGGTTCAGTTCATATACTAAGTTAAGAGTTAAGAGATTTGGAAGATCATAAAGTCGGTCAGGCTAGAAAATGTACTCACTGCCTAGATTTGCATGAGAAAACTGAAATAAAGAATAACTTAACAATGTGAGGGCGATCTGGCTGCAACATCTGTCACCCCACTGCTCTTCAGGATTAATTTGGCAGACCTGACCGGCTGGCTGTCCCGGTGTCCCCTTCCTCCCTCACCACTCCATGTGCGTCCCTGCCCAAGCTGTGAAGCTTTGTGCTCAGTGGGAGAGCATGACTACCCCGATAAAGAAGGGCCATTGCCTTGGTCAAGGATCTGGAGTAGAGACACTCTCCCGCTAGACCTTAAACAAGTTCTCAAGGAAGAACAAGAGAGCATCAGTGTGTATATAAGAGGCAAAGTATAATAGGGAATAACAAATTGATGATACGTATATGTAATTGAGTTATAAGAGAGTAAACATATAAAGATTTGAAAACCCCCGAGTTATTTTAAAAACTCATGCAGCATGTCGTGATGTTATTCTACAGATTATAATCAGTAATCTGAAAACACAATTCATGTTAAAAATGACTTATACGAAACAAGGATGCTGTGGAATCATGTGATGCACAGGAACACTGGAGGCAGAGGTCAAACACAAGACTCAGCCAGCAAACAACCTCTCCAGACCTCAGTTTCTTCATGCATAAAAGAGATTTCCATTACTTGTGGTATGGAGTCTTAGCAAGAACGGAGAAGATACAGAAGCAAAAGACCTGGTATAATCTCTGAGGAAATGCCCACACAAAAAATGCCTACTGTATCACATAATATTCTCATGGTATAAACCAAAGAATGATTCTCCTTATTTTACTACAGAAATAACCCTGATAAATCTGTTCATGATCTTGGCAGTGTGTAAGGTGAATCTTAAGATGTAACACCGAGTACTGTCAGATTACTAAGTATTCTGTCAGCGACACAGGTAGATCCCCAGGTCTGGGTAAGTTTCGATAACTGAGAACAGTGGGACAAATAGAAAGTTCTGGCACCTGCCTCAGAAGCACCCACGTGGCCCTGGAGACCACACATGGTGAAGAGAACAAAAAAGTCCGATGTGAAAGGCAAACGATCAGATATGAGTGGACTTACTCCATTCAAGAGACAAATAAAATGACAAAACAGATACATACTGCTCTCCTCTCCTTAAGTCCCAATGAAAAGAAGATAGATTTGAGGCTACAGGAAAAAAGGCACTGGGGAAACCCACTTTTCAGGATCCCTCTGTCTCTCTTAGACAGAAGATTTTCTCTTTTTCAATAAATTCTTCCCAGAAGAATGAAAAAGGCACCACCCTTCTACATTGTTGATGGGAATCTAAACTGGTAAAACATTATGGAAATCAGTATGGAGATGCCTCAAAAAATTAAAATTAGAAATTTCACTTGACTTAGTTATTCTCCTTCTCTGTATCTTCCCAAAAGAGTTAAAGTCATCATATTACAGTGATACATGCATATTCATTGTCTTAGTTACTTTTATTGTTGTGGAGACAAAATACTCAGCACCCAAAGATAAAGAGAAAGGTTTATTTAGCTCACAGTTTGTAGATGTTTCAGTTCATAGTCTGCTGGCTCCAGGGCAGGGGCACTGCAAAGCAGGCAGGCCGAAGCAAGTGACAAGTGACCAGCAATGAGCATAGCAGTTCTTTTTGTCCCCTATGTCGTACCCAGGATATTGTAAGGGTAGGTAGCACTCACACACTTAATCCTAGCACTGGCAAATCAATCCAGCATCATATGCTTGATCCCAGCACCACATACCCTATACCTAACTACCTTCAAAAAGCCCCCCCATGACAGCCTAAGGCTTTGGGGCAGCATCTAGATACAAGCCATAACACGTTTATAGCAGCATAATTCAGAATAGCTAAATCTTGTAAGGACCCTATCTGTCCATCAACAGATGAATGGATAAAGAAAAGGTGTTATTTATATGTAATGGAGTAAGACTGCCATAAAGAAGGGAGAATTTGATTTGTAGGAAAATGGCCACAACCTGAGACCAAAATGTGAAGCAAATCAGACACACAAGCTTAAATATCAGATACTTCTCTTATAGGGTAAACCTAAAGCATAAGTATTTTTTTTTTTTAAATAGAAAACAGGGAGATAGATCTTTTGCAAATGGGAAAGGCATCTAGAGATGGTAGGGGAGGGACAAAGAGGAAGGGGATTGACTCTGGAGAACATGGCGGACAGACAACAGCAACTACTGAACGCTCTCTAAAGGCTCGGCTCAGAGGCCAGGAATGATGCGGACTAAGGAGATACGAACCAGTAGAGATATGCTCTGCTGACTCAGGAACAAACTGGGCTGAGAGAATCCAACTTGGAATACAGTCCTGGCGCTAAAATAGGAACAGAAAAATCTCGGTGTGGAGGCTCGACTCTGCGCCATTGGAAACCGCGGTTTGGATTTCCCGCCGCGCGGCGGCCGGCTACCTCCACAGCGGCTCAGCAAGGAGAGACGCGACCTCCGAGCTCGGGAACGGAGTCGGAAACGCGACGGACAGGAAGGAAGGCTGACTGGAGGCGAGGTGAGCGAGGAACTGACTCCCTACCGCAGTCTGACTCCAGCGGAGGATTTTCTGGGCGCGGGCAGTCCTGTAAGAGCAGGGCGCGGCGGCAACTGCAGCCGCACGGTTCCCTCTCGGACGGGATTGGTGAAAGGTGCCTGGCCGGAGGGACGCTGCTCGCAGACCCCCTAGGCTGGCCTAGCCCAGATCCCAGAGCCTGACGGTGGCCCGTAGGAGCGACCGACTTCCGCGTAGGCTGCCTCCTCCGCAACTCCCTGGGGCGCAGCAGTGAGCTGGAACAACTAGCCAGCGCAATTCGATCAAGCTGTAGCTGACAGGCAGGGAAGCCGGGCCTCCTGTGTAAGATTACATTTCATAAGGAACAGAAAATATGGGGAAGGGAAGCAACAAAAAAGGCTCCTCGACCCCCAATCCTGAGAATCAGGCAATAGTGGACACTGTACCAATATACATTAAGCGCCATTTAGAGAGCCTCATAGACCAATTCAGGAATGAAGTTATCAATGACCTGAAGCTAGAAGTATGCAGAATAGTTAGAGAAATGCTAAGCACCACCCAGGAAAAAGCAGATGGTGGAGTGGAAGAACAGAAAAAGAGGGGAGAATTGCTTGATGGAGAAAACAGAGAAAGCATGGAGTATGTGAAGCAGGTGCAAAGGGACTATCAAGAAATCAAGAAGTATACCCAAGACTGGCATAACAGCTTGAAAGAAACTAAGGACAGACTATCTGAATTGGAGGGCAGACTTGAAACATGGGAGAATGAAATGAAAAACTTCTTAAAAATAACAAAGAAACACACAGCAATAATACAAAGACAAGAAGATGATAAGAGGAGCCATAACTTAAGGATTAAGAACATAAAAGAAGAAGTAGGGACACAAACAAGTGAACTACAAAAGCTACTCACAGAAATAATCCAGGAGAATTTTCCTAATTTAGCAAAAGGTAAAGATACTCAAATATATGAGGCATACAGGACCCCAGCTACCTACAACCCTAACAGAGAAACACCCAGACATATAATAATAAAAATTCCAGAAATTCAATACAAGAACAGAATATTAAAAGCTGTAAGAGACAAGAAACAGATCACTTACAAGGGAAGACCCATCAAAATTACAGCAGATTTCTCTTCACAAACCATCAAATCACGAAGAGCATGGGGAGAAATAATTCAAGCTTTGAAAGATAATAATCTACAGCCAAGATTGAGATATCCTGCACAACTGTCCCTGGAAATTGATGGAAAAACGAGGTGCTTCCAAGATAAAGAGGAACTGGGGGAATTTGCAACCACCAATTCAACCCTACAGAAAGTATTGCAGGATATTCTAAAAAAAGAAAAATACAAAGAACCCAGAAATAGGGGCGGGGAGGCCACAACGAATGGAGCAGAGAACAAAACGAAGAAGACAAACTGACAGCTACTGACAGAAAAAGAGCTCAACAGAAATGAGACAGAGAAGATTGGATGATAGGAACAGCTTTTTTTGGAGAAAATGACATCTTAATAGGTAATGCTGATTTAGTACCATCTTGTTTTGAAGTCTCATCTAGCTTTTGTTCTTCTGTCTCCAATGGTCTAAACAGGTTGTAGCTTATTGGATTTTGTTATGTACGATAGTATAAGAAAAAACCTTTTAAAGACAAGGAGATTATACAGAGACCATTGTTCATTTTCTGTTAGTCGATTCTAAATACTCTATAATGCTGTCATTCTCTTAAATGGATTTACATTGTTTTGATATACTTAATGCTACAGTATATGAAGTTGTACTCAAGGACTTCAGGGAGGGAGTCAATATGGTAACCATTTTTGGGTCAGGATTAGCTGGTGGTGAAACACTATTCTGCTTAAATGGTTATGTTTTGATCTGCCCTGTTTCGCTGTTATGCCCTCTTTTTTTCTCAATCTCCACTCCATTATTTACTTTTTTATTTTTATCCATTTAATTACAGGGAAAAATATAGCAGGATATAATATAGTAACCCACTTTGACTTTCTATTATCTCGATTTGAAGCCCTGTATTACTCTCACCATCTTGTTTTTGACTGAGGTTCCTATATTCTGTTTTGCTGGATAGTATCAGGTTCGAAAGTTTAGGCATCAGCTGAGAAGATAATGAGATTCATTATAACGCCCATTCTCGTTGACTTTTATCTACTTTTGAAGACCTACAATATCTCCAATGTTTTGGTTTTGTCGGTTTTATTCTTTACGGTTTTGTTCAATTGTATTACAACTAATGATATAGGCAATTCTATTAGAAATAGCGGGAGGCATTATGGTAACCATTGTTGATCACCTTGTATTATGTTTTTTATATTATCTATTATGTCCACCCTTTTGACTTGACCGATTCTGTTCTGTTATGTCACATTTGGTTTTACTCTCTTCCAAAAAAGCAACAAGAACTGTGGGAGCAATGAAACCCAAAATGTGTAATAGTCACTGTACAAAAGAGAGGAAAAGAAAGTGCTCTAAACTATATAACTGCATGTACATTTAAAAGTATAAGATAGAAAATGATATCACAGAGTTTTATTGGATCATTGAACAGAACTGTTTGCAGTATCATTGTTGGAATGTCCACTCTACAAGCTTTAATTTTGTGACTTGAACAATTATTTCTAAGATGGCAATATGTAATCCATTAACTAGTGATTTCCTACTGCGCATTTTTTTATTCTGTAAACCTGTATAACTTGTACCCCTTCACTGTTTTTTTTCTTTCTTTTCTTTTCTCCTTAAATAAAAATTAAAAAAAAAAAAAAAGAGGAAGGGGATTAAAAAGTATTATGACATCTTACATGCATGCACCTAGTCCCTAAGATGGTCATAAACTTCCATACTACAAACATGGTAACAAAAATTTAAAAAAAGAAAAGAACACTGATTCATACTGGGCTGCAACAAACAATCCTGGTTTGAAATAGTATATGTGAAAAGCACAAAGGAAGAGTTAATTTGTTCATAAAACTCTTACTTTTAACCCTGATTCCCACTTCTAGCTATATCCAATACAATAATAATATACAGTCTGTGTATTTTTTTAAGGAATGGACATCTCTGTTGTGTGATTGGGAAGGATTGGAGATTACAACAGATACATAAATAACATGATGGTTTATTGAAAATGACCAGACACAGACAGCTCAGGGAGGCACAATGCCAATGGCATAATCACTTACCTGTCTGTACATCCACATGCTTCCTGCCTTCTACGGGTTCAGGTGTCCGTGGTTTGAGCTGCTCTTGAGCTCGTTTTTTGGCAAGAGCCTTCTTCTTAGCCTGCTGCTTTCTCTGCAGCTCTACAGGATCAGGCTGCCCAGGCTGAGAGGGATAGAAAAGGCTTCTAACAGTCAGGGCATATTTCTCAAACAACGAAAGAACTGCTATTCTACCGTAAAGCATGTGTTACAAGAATGCTTCGTGATTACTAGAGACTTGATGGTTAAAACTTTATTGGAATTTTGTCAGGTAATACGTAGGTATCTGACAAAGCATAAAAGTTACTCCAAGTATGCCTGTAACAGCGTAAAAGGGTCAGAATCCTATCTAATTACATATATGTTTTCCTTACTCAAGCATTTTTATCATCAAATCTTTTGCTTCCTAGTAGAACTGGTATAACTGTTCCATTATGATAAACTTTAATGAATACTTGAGAAATTGAAAAGTAGGATTTTTAAAATTTGAATTTCATTTTAACAGAATTTCCTTAACAAATTTATTAGCTCACAAAGAAAACATTCTCAGAAAGCTTCTCTAAGTGTAAAATAAGCTGACAAAGGGATTGTAAATGTAATTGTTCACAGTCATTATTATTTGATATCTGTATCTTACTTTGTAGTCATTCTCTATAGCTCGTTTATCTTACCTCAAGCTAAATTGAGAAGGGGTATGTGAAAATATTGCACATGGATAAGCATTTATTTATTTGTTTTTTAAAAAAACCCAATAAAAACAATGATTCAGGATTTCAGTTGGGGAGATAGCTCAGCAGCACAACTGTCTGCCTGGCAAATGTAAAGTCCAAAGAATTTCTTTTTTTTTTTAAGAATTTCAAAACAAGATAATAGGAAATTAACAATGATTAATATATTGTGTATTGTCATCTTCAAAATTGGTCAGATTATAAGATATAGGCATGCATCGATCAAATTATAAGTGCAAAGCGTTTTTTCAATGAACTTAAAGAAACGAGTAGTAGGGGCTGGGGATTTAGCTCAGCGGCGTAAGTGCCTGCCTTGCTAGTGCACAGTCGTGAGTGTGATCCCCAGTAAGTTCCCTACCAAAGAAATCAGTAGTATAACTATCTTAGTTATCTTTGTGTGTGTGTGTGTGTGTGTGTGTGTGTGTGTGTGTATATATATATATATATATATATATATATATATATATATTTCCCTCCTTCTTTTCTCCTTTCACTCATCCTAGTTGTTCTTTCCTTTTCATAATATCTATTGTAGATTTTACTTTTTCAGTTTCTTACACTAGGGAGACAATACGTTATTTACATATACGAGTCTGATTTCTTTCATTTATGAACATGGTCTCTAGTTGCTTCTTCACATGGATAAACATTTAAAAGTAGAATTTTAAACGCATTTTAATTGAAATGACAGTGTAGTAACATTAACATTTTTAAAAATAAGACAATCACCTATGATCGATCCCATGTCACTTAAATGAAGTGTTTTTTAAAGCTGTGTGATACCATACACGTTTTTATTATTGTTCTAATTTATCATAAAGTTTATGTATGATATTATCTATCATAAACTTTTCCCTATGTGTGCATTATACAGAGTAAATGAGAGCACTATTTCTGATGTTCAAATTCCAACTTCTCAATTTATTAATTACTAAGATTACTAAAATCCTAGGATTACTAAAGCTTCAAGTAACTAACCCTAACCCTAAGGTATTTTTCTTATCTATGTAAAGATGATACTAAATCTACGTAAGGTTTTGGCAATAAGAAGCAAATCAGAAGACAACGTAATGAGCTTTACACATTATCCTCCCCTACCTCATTATCATATCCTTTCATTATAAAATGGTAAAACCACATGAGGAAAAAGAAAAAGAATTGCCTGTAGTTAAATCTGAATAATACAATTATTGCTATCATTTTGGGATCATTCAGTGAAGACTTTTTTCTTTGTGTATTTATTCTATACTTTTATTAATACTGTCCTTATTTCTTTTTTTTAAATTTTATTTAAGGAGAAAAGAAAAAAAAAAGCAGAGAAAGGGTACAAGTTATACAGATTTACAGAAAAAAAATAAACGTAGGAAATCACTAGTTAATGGATTACATATTGTCATCTTAGAAATAATTGTTCAAGTCACAAAATTAAAGCTTGTAAAGTGGACATTCCAACAATGATACTGCAAACAGTTCTGTTCAATGATCCAATAAAACTCTGTGATATCATTTTCTATCTTATACACTTAAATATACATGCAGTTACATCGTTTAGAGCACTTTCTTTTCCTCTCTCTTGTACAATGACTATTACACATTTTGGGTTTCATTGCTCCCATGGTTCTTATTACTTTTTTGGAAGAGAGTAAAACCAAATGTGACATAACAGAACAGAATCGGTCAAGTCAAAAGGGTGGACATAATATATAATGTAAAAACATAATACAAGGTGATCATGAATGGTTACCATAATGCCTCCCGCTATCTCTAATAGAATTGCCTATATCATTAGTTATAATACAATTGAGCAAAACAGTAAAGAATAAAACCGACAAAACTAAAACATTGGAGACATTGTACGTCTTCAAAAGTAGATAAAAGTCAACGAGAATGGGCGTTATAATGAATCTCTTTATCTTCACAGCTGATGCCTAAACTTTCGAACCTGATACTATCCAGCAAAACAGAATAGGGGAACATCAGTCAAAAACAAGATGGTGAGAGTAATACAGGGCTTTAAATCGAGATAATGAAAGTCAAAGTGGGTTACTATAATATATCTTGCTATTTTTTTCCTTTAATTAAAAGGATAAAAATAAAAAAATAAATAATGGAGTGGAGATTGAGATAAAAGAGGGCATAACAGCGAAACAGCGCAGATCAAAACATAACCATTTAAGCAGAATAGTGTTTCACCACCAGATAATCCTGACCTAAAAGTAGTTACCATATTGTCTCTTTCCTTGAAATCCTTGAGTACAACTTCGTATACTGTAGCATTAAGTATATCAAAACAATGTAAAACCATTTAAGAGAATGGCAGCATTACAGAGTGTTTAGAATCGACTAACAGAAAATGAACAATGGTTTCTGTATAATCTCCTTGTCTTTAAAAGGTTTTTGCTTATACTATCGTACATAATAAAATCCAATAAGATACAACCTATTTAGACCATTGGAGACAGGAGAACAAAAGCTAGATGAGACTTCAAAACAAGATGATACTAAATCAGTATTACCTATTAAGATGTCATTTTCTCCAAAATAGCTGTTCCTATCATCCAATCTTCTTTGCCTCATTTCAGCTGAGCTCTTTTTCTGTCAGTAGCTGTCAGTTTGTCTTCTTCATTTTGTTCTCTGCTCCATTTGTTGTGGCCTCCCTGCCACTATTTCTGGATTCTTTGTATTTTTCTTTTTTTAGAATATCCTGCAATACTCTCTGTAGAGTTGAATTGGTGGTTGCAAATTCCCCCAGTTCCTCTTTATCCTGGAAGCACCTTGTTTTTCCATCAATTTCCAGGGACAGTTGTGCAGGATATCTCAATCTTGGCTGGAGATTATTATCTTTCAAAGCTTGAATTATTTCCCCCCACACTCTTCGTGATTTGATGGTTTGTGCAGAGAAATCTGCTGTAATTCTGATGGGTGTTCCCTTGTAAGTGGTCTGTTTCTTGTCTCTGACAGCTTTTAATATTCTGTTCTTGTATTGAATTTCTGGAATTTTTATTATTATATGCCTGGGTGTTGCTCTGTTTGGGTTGTAGGTAGCTGGGGTCCTGTATGCCTCATACATCTGAGTATCTTTACCTTTTGCTAAATTAGGAAAACTCTCCTGGATTATTTCTGTGAGTAGCTTTTGTAGTTCACTTGTTTGTGTCCCTACTTCTTCTTTTATGTTCTTAATCCTTAAGTTATGGATCCTCTTATCATCTTCTTGTCTTTGTATTATTGCTGTTTGTTTCTTTGTTATTTTTAAGAAGTTTTTCATTTCATTCTCCCATATTACAAGTCTGCCCTCCAGTTCAGATAGTCTGTCCTTAGTTTCTTTCAAGCTGTTATGCCAGTCTTCGATAGACTTCTTAGTTTCTTGGTAGTCCCTTTGAACCTGCTTCACGTATTTTATGCTTTCTCTGTTTTCTCCATCAAACAATTCTCCCCTCTTTTTCTGTTCTTCCATTCCACCATCTGTTTTTTCTTGGGTGGTGCTTAGCATTTCTCTAACTATTCTGCACACTTCTAGCTTCAGGTCATTGATAACTTCATTCCTGAATTGATCTATGAGGCTCTCTATATGGTGCTTTATGTCTATTGGTGCGGTGTCCGCTATTGCCTGTTTCTCAGAATTGGGGGCCGAGGAGCCTTTCTTGTTGCTGCCTCTTCCCATATTCTCTGTTCCTTATTTATGCAAACTTATATAGGAGACCCAGCTTTTCTCCCTGTCAGCCACAGCCTGATCGAATTGCGCCGGTTAGGTGTTCCTGCCCACCACAGCGCACCAGTCAGTTACGGACCAGGCAGCCTATGCGGGGCCCGCCCCTCCCGGCCACCGTCAGGCTCTGGGATCTGGGCTGGGCCAGCTTACCAGGTCCACCAGCAGCGTCACGCAGGCCAGGCACTTTTCACCAATCCCACCCGAGAGGGGGATGTGTGGCTGGAGTCGCCACCGTGCCCTGCTCCCGCAGGACTGCCTGGACCCAGAAAGTCCTCCGCTGGAGTCAAACTTTGGTAGAGTGTCAGTTTCTCTCACTCACCTCACCACAAGTCAGTGCACGCCTCCCTGCCCGTCCTGTTTTCGACTCCATTCGCAGATTGCCATTCTCAGAGCTTCCGCGCGTCTCTCTCCTCGCCGAGCTGCTGTAGAGGCAGTCGCCGTGTGGCGGGAAACCCAAATCGCGGCTTCCAATGGCACGGGGTCCAGTCTCCACACTGAGGCTTTTCTGTTCCTGTTTTAGCACCAGGACTGCATTCCAAGTTAGTTTCTCTCAACCCAGTTCGTTCCTGAGTCAGCAGAGCATATCTCCACCTGCTTATGTCTCCTTACTCTGCACCCTTCCTGACTTCTGAACCAAGCCTTTCAGATAGCCTCTGTAGTATCTGTTATCTGTCCGCCATGTTCTCC